TTTTTTTTTTAAATTTCAAGATTCAACCTTTGGCAAAATTCTTGTTGTCTTATGGGAAATTCAAAGATTTCAGGATAGTTCTTTAAAACAGCAAAAAAATGAAAAAATTGTTAGTAATTAAGTCTTGGATCGTACAAGCGATGGCAGTCTTTGCCAAAACCTTTTTCCAAGTTGTCTACTCTCACAAAGAGCTATTGTTGAAGAAAGAAAGAGCTGTAGGAGGCACCATTAAAGAGATTCTTTTTTGTGATAACGGACAAAACTGGTTCCCATAGTGATTGACCATAAGGACCAGTTATTGCAGGAAAGCCTCCATTGATTTTAGTTTCCAACCTTCTACATTGGTCATTTTCGATTATATTCAGAATACCAATTTACATTTTATGATGAAACTTAACTTTTTTAAAGTACAAAATTCAATTGAATCTACTAAATTGCAGGCTATAATTCCCTCATTTAGAACCCAACGGACAGAAAACTATACCGTACCGTTCAGCGCTACAGTAATCTATGCTTCCGGAGAGTCATTAGCTTGGGCATCGCCTGTTGGTAAAAAAGAGGTACTGCTGCTGTTTAATTGTTGAATTGAAGTAACGTACATAGTGCAGTTGCACACTAAGCACTAAAAGAAAATGATTGCTTTCGAAAGCAATGTTCCTGGATGTGGTGTTTGGTACGCAATTACACTAAAAATGCAGACATTCTACGCATTATTTGCTTAGCAAATGTTTAGGTGTTGCGTTCAGGCTCATACAAATTCCCATTTGTTTTCACTCTACCAATCACTTGCGCACCCAGTTTTGAAGGTGAAGTCTAAACTTATTTTTTTGAATGTAGAAAGGTTTCCGAAAAATCGATTTAGGTACATATGGCTATATCCGATATATGGTTAAAGTAGAACTTGATCGACCATGGCGATTCAACAAAACCGACAAGAAACTTTTTACAGGTACACAAATAAAGCATTACGCCAAAAGTCACGAAACCAAGCATTTCGCGGCTGCATTGCATTACCATGACTTTTGCCAACTCTTGCTAGGATGCAAGTAAAATTCTAGGTTATGAAGAAATTATCTATGTGCATCAGTATAACATCTTATTTCCCTATTTCAGTGGTTCCCATTTTTGACCTAAATACAATTCCACGAGCATGTATGCCAGTTAGAGAGGTTAAAGTTAAGAACTTGGGTATAGTTCTGTTCAGAAGTGGTAAAGTGACGATAGAGGTACGTCTCTACAAAGTCTTGCTTTTTCTTTGGAAAAAAA